AGATATATTGGACATAAGTTGACAGATAAGGGCATAAAACCGGACGAAAGTAAAATTGAAACGGTAAAAAATTATCCAATCCCAAGGAATGTAAAGGAGTTACAAAGTTTTTTAGGGATAGTAAATTACTTACATAAATTCATACCGAATGTGGCAGAATTGTCGACACCACTTAGAGAGTTGTTAAAAAAGGATATAATTTTTCATTGGGGACATGAACAACAAAAGGTCTTTGATAAATTAAAAAATATATTGACTACAGAACCATTGTTAAAATTTTATGATCCAAATAAATCTTTAGTATTGTCGGTAGATGCTTCAAGAGATGGTCTCGGAGCAGCACTATTACAAGAAGGGACACCAATCGCGTACGCGTCAAGGCCTTTGAACAAATGTCAAAGCTGCTATGCTCAAATTGAGAAAGAAATGTTAGCTATAGTGTATGGTGCAAAAAAATTTCATCAGTACCTTTATGGCAGGAAGGTAGTAATTGAGACAGATCACAAACCACTTTTACACATATTTAAAAAACCTTTAATTGATTGTCCTATGCGCATTCAGAGAATGATGTTAGATTTGCAAATTTATGATTTAGAAGTACAATATAAACCAGGTAGAGAAATGTATGTTTCAGATGCATTAAGCAGAATAAAAATGCCAGAAGATAAAACTAAAATTTTTGATCACGAGTATGAAGCTCAAATAAATTATTTAAGAAAGAATTTCCCAATTTCAAAGAGTAAACTTGCAGAATTTAATATAGAAACGAAAAGAGATGAAGAATTGCAAACAGTTTTAAAATATATTAGGGAAGGTTGGCCAAATTCCAAGGTACAATGTAAATCATTTGCAAAATTATATTATAACGTTAGATCCGAACTAGTAATTATTGACGATTTGATTTATAAAGGAAACTGTTTAGTAGTACCACGATCCTTAAGGAAAAACATGTTAGATATTATTCATGTGAGTCATTTAGGAATTAGCAAATGTTTCTTAAAGGCCAGGCAATTACTTTATTGGCCAGGTATGTATCGCGATATAGAAAATAAAGTTCTGTCATGTGAAGCTTGTCAGAAGTATTCCAGGAATAATTTTAGGGAACCGTTAATACCGCATACTGTTCCAGATTTTCCATGGCAGAAAGTAGGTTGCGATTTGTATGAATTGAGGAAAGAGAAATTTATTATTGTAATTGATTATTTCTCTAAATATGTGGAAATATGTAAAATTCAAAATATTACGGCTGATACGGTTATTATACATTTGAAAAATATATTCAGCAGATTAGGTATTCCGCAAATATTTGTGTCAGATAATGGAACACAATTTTCAGGATTTGTGTTCGAGAATTTTGCGAATGGCAATTTCAACATGTCACCTCAAGTCCTCATTATGCAAAATCGAATGGCATGGTTGAAAGGGCTATTCAGACTGTAAAAAATATTATAAAGAAATGTTACGAGACAAACACTGATTTAAACCTTGCTTTGTTAGATTATAGGAATACACCTGTTAGCAATTGTATTTTATCACCTTCTGAATTATTGTTTAATAGAAAAACTAGAACTTTAATACCTATTAAGAATAATATGTTAACTCCAAAAAATATTAATTTCAAAAAACAGAGGCAATTGTTAGTAGACAGACAAAATAAACAAAAATGTTATTATGATAGAGCGTCTAGAAAATTAAGAGCTTTGAGAATTAATGAAAAAGTTTATATTAGAAAAAATGATATTTGGATTCCAGGCAGTGTAGTTAGAAAGTTTAATGATAGGTCATATCTTGTTAAAGAAGATGATACCAACCTAGTTATGCGTAGAAATAGATATTTTTTGAAACCACAATATTATATGAAAACTTCCTCTAGTTACATGTCAGATACGGATTCAAATGTAAGCAATGTAGAAAATAATGAGGATGATGTAACTGATATGTTAGAGAACGTAAATGTAACCGATTTGACTGATAAGAATGAATTTGTAAGTGAAAGTGACGAAGAAAGTGATAGTGCAACTGTGACAGAAGAGGAGCCAAATGAGACAACAGACGAGGCAACACCATCCTCTTCTCACACAAGAAGAACGATTTATGTTTCAAAGTTTGGCAGGAGGGTAAAGAAGCCAAAAAATGTTAATTAAGTTTAATTTGTAATTTTTTTTCTCGAAAGGGAAAGATGTCATATAGTGTATATAGGAGTGGGGAATAAAGTAGTATTAACTGGGCACTGGTTGTGGCTGCATGCTCCCACACCTCCACGTAACACAAATAACAACAACAACAACAAGGTTTATTTGTGCCACAAACACAGAACTATTTTTACACATGTTAATTAAGCAGAGATCCTTAAAAAAACACACACACACAATGAAAAGAGAACGGAGCTAATAATAACAAAATTTGAATTGGGAACGCAACCCAGAATACACTTCCAAATCCCACCGGCTGCGCCAAAATTACGCGCCTCCTCGATTCGCCGCCGCGAAAAAACGCCTCCGTCTGGAGGTAGGCCTCCAGCTCGGCGTTGATTTTCCGTGCCTCGAAACCAAATCGGGGAAAGGTCGTCGCGTCGCCGGATTTATCGCGCTCCATCCTCCCGACTGCGCCAAAAATTGCCTCTTACAGTTACAACGCGGAGCATCATTAAGCTACAATACGTACCGTAATTGAATTAAACTTGCGCCACTTTCGCTCCACGCGCCTCCGCCGGCGAATCTCACGGAAACCCGATCGGAGGGTAGATAAGGGTGAATTAAAAAGTCCGTTGTCGCACGTGACGCAAATATACGGCGCGATCGTTGTACTTTTTGACGTTTCGTGCATTCCTCGCGGTCGTAGGCTGCAGCGTCGTTGCGGTTTTTCTCCCCAAACACAGAAAACTCATTTGGCGGCGCTAAATGGCTTTTGATGATTCGGAGCGTGCAAAACGCGCTTGACTCGTAATTGTTGATTTCGAAATAAAAGCGATCGCCTTGTTCGTCTTGCGGACGAAACCAATAAAATTCGGTAACAAAGAGATGGGACTGTAATTGCGGCGGAAGTTGCGCCTCGGTCCTGGAAACGTCGATGGCGGCGCAATATAAAATTTTAATAAACGGAATGATTCGCCATTCAATTACCGCGTAAATAAGATTAGAGGAAATCGACGGATACGCCGAGCGGAACCAACTATTCCGAGCCAATTTAATATCCATTTAAGGCATTCTAAGATCTCGAGCTCCAGCCTCTCACTCCCGGAGATAGAGACGCGGTCGCTGCCAAGGATTCGCCCTGGCGTGAATAAATGACGAACAACGGCGCTCCGCGGGATGCATCCTAAAAAATATATGCGCTCATGAGCGTCCTCCAAACTTGCTCGCTACCACGCGAAAAAATCTGCACAACGGTTACAATTTGTCGTTGCACAAACAAACAATTTCAACTAACACACGACATTTCGGAGGGGTTAATTTCGGTGGGATGGGGCCATAAATCCGGCGGCGCGCTAACTTCGCCCGATTTTTGTCTTCGTGTCGGGGGATTATTACATTTCGTTCCTGGCGACGCAGATCTGGATTTAAACTTTTTTAACGTCGTTTTCAATATCCTGAATATCGCGTTTCATATTCGCACCAGAAATATGGAGACATTAAGGAAACTTAGTAGATTAAACTCAAAGACGGTTTATATCAAAGTTGTCATTTTCCATAAATGGAGAAGTTATCTCGTGATGGATTACAATCCTATAACTTGAATAAGCAAATAAATCTTTAATGGAGTTTCACCTCGGTTAATAAAATTCGCGCGAGTTTTAGTTGGAAAAAACAGAGCGGTTCGTCGGCGGCGCGAAGATACGAAAATGCAAATATGGTTTCCGCCTCAATTATTTCCGGGCTTCGGAAAAACGCTAACCGAATAAAAGGAAGGATCGGAAAGTCAAATCCTGCAGTGAGCCGTAAATTACCCCTAATGCATTTTTCGCGATGGAGAGAGAGGGAATTAAAATATTCAGGCGATTATTTAGGACGTTTTCGGAACTGATTGTGATTTGTGGAATCGATAATGGAGTTTGGTTGTATTCGAGCCCTATATTTTATTCGAATTTGGAAAAAAAAACGTGATTATTGTCCGACACATAAACGTCTGGATTTATGGAATTATTTTCTAGTTAATGTGGCAGCTAAAATGAGCAAAATTCGTTTCGACTAAATTATATCGGAATGTAATTTATCTTCGGCTGCTAAATGCGGAATTTTAAAAAATTCCCCGCACAGTTCGATAAATTACAAAATATGCCAGTTATTCCTCGGAGAAATAAAAAATTAACGAAACGCAACCCGTTTTGTTTTAAAATAAACTTCGCTCGAACAATTTTTCTGCGGCAGACGTGGCCAATCGATAATCGGCAAAGTTTTGCATGCCAAAGCAAAAGTTTCGGCAGTAAGTAAAATTATCGAATTCTGCGAAGTCCTCATTACAGATTCCTGGAGGGCTTTGCCAAAGTTTATAGAAGCGCTCGGCAAGAAGTAGCTCAACTCCACTCGCAACCGAGGGATGGAATGGGTCAATTTACAATCTAAAACCGTAACGCCGCCCCCGCCCGCCGCGCTTTTTCCTCCCCACACATGCAACTAGTTCTCCGCATCCGCCGTTTAAGCTACTCCGCTGCATAACACTCGACTTAACTCGACACCAGATAACACTCGCACAATCAAATTATAACGTCATCGCCAGACTTGCCAACTAGGAATTTTCAATAAACCGTTCTCCGCAATCTCCGCAGGGCCAAATGGCCGAGATGATCCGCAGAATTTTCGAAACTCTTCTAATCGCGGACGTTAAATCCTACCGGCTGCGCCGAAAAGCGAACGAATTATTTCGCGAACGAATTATTCTCGCCTAGTGCAGATATATAGAGCCATCTGCGCCTGAAGCATCCATTTCGGCTCGACCCGGTCGTATATTCAAACGAGCACTCTTTAGTCAGCGCAAATCTCCACGGAAATCCTTCATTTCAGGTGGGAACGAAGCCGTTACAGCCACCTTCGACCTGTTCGACTCGTCGAGTGGCCCGGACCTGACTTTGTCCCCGCAGACCTTCACGAATTCAGCTGAGGCCTTTATCAACGACAACTCCAACAGTCTGGGAGTCCCAGCGGACAGCGATGCAGGTTAGTCACTTTCTATGTCGACTACTCCGGCTCACGAGCTACACAATGGGTAGAGGTATTTGGCTACAACGGGGCTGTCAATGGCGGGTGCCGGGACGAATATCCGGTCCTAACACGTCGCTTTTATGAACAGAGGAGGCAGATTTATACTTCGGGAGTTTCATTCACTATCTCCAGTAGTCGTAACTTAATTTCGTACGATGGATTACGTTTGTGATCACGATACGTCGGCAAACAGCTGAACCGTTATTGAAGAAGTCTGCAGAAAACGAAAGTGAAACTTTAATGAAATGGACGAACAAAAATACAACAATTTCACTCGTGGTAGTGTTTTCAAATCTGCATCTATTATTAACCACGTTAATAATAGAGCTAAGTTATTACATCTGGCCCCCGACATGACAGTTTTGTTTTAATCTACTTCGGGGAGTCTTGCGCCAAAACTCGAAATGCTTAGTTTCAAAAATGGAGCCCAATTTATCAAAAAAAAAAACAACAGAATAACCTTCTTTTGACATTTACTATACTAACTTGGAGGTTGATGTTCTTATATTCATATGAAACCAGAGTTTGACTAGAGACCAAAAAAATGTAAAAGCTTTTTACCGATTTAATTAAAAATTGTCGTCGGCGTCGAGAACCTTTCAGAGTTATTTTCAATAAGTCTTGGTGGTTTTAGAGCTCCAAATTCCCTATTCAAGTTTTTTGCAGAAAAAAATGAAGTAAAAGACGTTCACAAAATGATAGTTTATGTCGTATTGAAGTCAATAATTCACCAATTTTTGAAGCGTTATTGAAGTGAACTTCCCTCGCAGGGTTTAGAAAGCAAAATTTGAGCCCTCGGCTCCTTTCCCTGTTACGCCCGGTTTATTTTTGTTCCCCCAGGAGCCCCATGGCGATTTTTCGTAAAATTCGTACCTCCACCACCCACGGCGCCTCCGCTCTCCCTCGCAGCGAATTTCCAGCAACCCCAGTCTCCAGACGTGGCCGTGCCTCTGTCCATTAATAAAGCCGAACAATGGAGCTCGTGTCCGGCGGTGAGCCGACAACATAGAGACGTCTCTTGTTAATGAACAGATGAAATCGCACGAGCTTTGTGCGGTTCGATCGTAATTAAATCGAGACGCCAGCCATGTAAAAATCACCGCAATTCCGGCAGCAGGGGCGGAACGAACGAAAAAAGCCACTTTGTGCTCCGCTTGCTCGGTATTAATTACGACTTGCCAGATAATGCGAGTACCGATATAATGGGGCGCTGTTTTGTACACACACTGCGATCTTCGAGCTAATGAGAATTTAAATCAGGGATCACGTTGCAAACAATGACTTATTTAGAGTGCTCTCTCGCGGCACGTGGAGGTGTACACCTCGAAACGATTTCGGCTCTCGTTTATTTAGGGCTTAGTTAAAATTCCAGGGACGGGTTCAACGAGGCGAGCGCCGCGAGCACGTACCATAAATTGTTAGCTTTGTGAGAAGGTCACACGCAAATTGAAAATCTTACTAGTCGAAGTAAAAGAAGCGTGACGTCACACCCGGGAAACGAGCTCGATTTCGGTCAAAATCTGGCTGCGTGTCAGGTTCCATCCCCAGCGTCCCGTTCGACCTCTTTAAGCGAGAGCGGCTGCCGAAATCCCGCTGTTTTGAATGAAAACATTGCAGCGCGTGTTATTTTTGCTGTATTTGTTTAGTACAAGCGATATTAATCTTTTTATTTCGGACGGGTTTAAATCAACCGAGAGTTAATGGACAACAGTTGTTGTTAGAGGATGACCTAATTCTTGGCTTTGGGCGTGCTACAACGAGAGAGAAGGGTGTGCTTAAATGAAACGCGTGGGCGGCGGGAGTTTTAACCACAGTGGGCGAAAGCCTTTTTTTCGGAATTCCGGCAAGATGGGGGAAGAGAAAATTGAACTTGACGCTTCGGGCTAAGCCGCCGATGTAAATTATATTCAATTAGAATGTGCTTGTCGCCACATAATAATCAAATGGAGCTAATTGCGGCGGATCGAATCCTTCACGAATAATTTTACTCGACTGTGTAACCAGTGACTTGCGATGTCCACGTCCGAGCGATTTTTCTCTTTGACTAAACAAATTCGCACAATAGCAATTATTTTTTTTACGTTTTTCTATACCGCCTGCAGTCATGGCAATTTCCATAGCGATAAAGTAAGCAAACCGGAAAAAATCCCGCTGCAAAATGGATAATGGATCGCAACAATAACAGAGGCGATAAAACATAACCGACGATCGGAATCGCAGAGAACGTCGATAAATCTGCATGGTGGGCGCTCTAATTGCAACAACAACGGCCCGAAGTCGTTCAACTAAACATTTCGCCCTTAAATGTGCAATTTAAAATAGGTTTCACGGCCGCCGGATCCAGGCTCCCATTTCCGGTCAGATATGTTGAATGATTGTTGTTCGAGCATTACATGAGCGAACAAAAATCTGCGGACTCGAGTGTTTGTAATGTTGCAGCTGCAGGACGTCAGCGGAATGGACGTGTGGTCGTAGTCAGCGATTTTTTTGGCGGCGGGGCGGGGCGGCGCGTGGGGGCGGATTTACAATTTGCAAATATGAAACGTGGAATTTTCAGGGGGAAAATCTAACTGAAATTGAAACTACAACTGAATCGAATATAAAGCAGGATTTGTAATCAAACATTTTAATTTATGGTTTAAAACTGTTTGAGTGGCATTAGGCTAAGCCCGGACCGAAAAAACCGAAATGGAACTGAACGGGAAAATTCAAATGCGAAAAATGAAGTTCAACGAAAGTACACAGCCAAAACCAAAAAATACCGGAAATGAAGATTTAAAAAATCCATAAATCAAGTTGAAACTAAGCTGCAGATGAAAGCTAACATTAATCTGAAATCAAAGCCGAAATTAAAACTGCAACCGCCGCTCGAATGCAATGAAACTAAGACTGGAATTCAGAAAACCTGTAAAAATACTAAAAAGACAACCAAGTTGAAGCTAAAATTAGAGTGGAAGCCAAATGCACATCGTCTTGACAACATAAAAAGAGAAGTTCGTATCTGTACTGTGTAACACCACGACACGAACTTCTTGTTATTCTCGCCACTTTTTTAGGCAAAAACAACCCCTTTCCATGCTTTCATCAGCCCGCAGAAAAATCCATTTGTTGCCAATAGCGCCTTCTCCGCCCCCGTTAATAAATTACGGCCATCCGCCGCACTTATTTTCCTTTCAAGCTCGGTTAAAAATCCGCAAATTTTCCAGTTTTTAACTACCAACTCTCCTTAATGAACCAAGGAAACAACTCGTCATCAATCTTCCTGTTTATACCGCGTCCACATCCGTCTGATCAAACTCCCACAAAAGCCGCAAAAGTGTAACAGTTCGTGGCAGCAGTGCAACTAGGATCGAAAATGATTCGAACGTGAGGTGAACTAAAAAAAAAAAAACGAACGTCAAGTGGAAATTCGACGTACTTGTAAAGTTTCATGGAATATTCTGCGTCTGAGATGCACGTTTTTCAAATATGTAGGTGGTTATCGCTATGAATAATATTCTATGGGTTTAAAATTAAATCAGTCGATCTGGCGAGTCGCGTCGAAGAATTACAGAGAGCGTCACCACTCCATTGTTATCTCCGCAATTATCGATCCCCTCTGGAAAAATCCTAATTCCGCCCACCTCGCGCTCAGCAGGTTGTTGTGATAAGAGCCAGTATAAAAATTGAGTTATGAGATGAAGTCTTCTGTTGACAATTCCCAGTGGAAATAAGTTGTTTGCGCTAACTCCAGCACTCCATTACTCGCCGCGATAGAAACGACGTGTGTCAATATCAATAAATGCTCGGATCCCGCATACGTCGTCGATCTAACCAAATTAGAATAGAAATTTATCTCGCGAAATCGCCGTGTCTTTCTTCCGCGAGCCGGGGCCGAGCGGCGAATCTCCATCTCGCCCGGCGCATCCACCATATTTCCAATTTGTATTGACGGTGTTATGTCGAAGAATCACGGAAGAGGCGGCGATGAATAACGGTTTTCGGTAATCTACACACCTGGATGAGAGGCACGTGGAGCGGTTGCCAGGGAAACGGGGGATGGAGGCCGTGGCGGCGGCGCTAATCGCCGACTGCAAACAGTCGCAAAAAAATGGAGTTCTGCCTCACGTCTTAGCTGTTTACCGATACGGGGAATATTTAGTTCTTGATAGCGTCGTATTTGAAGATGGTTGCCCACGATAACCTACTTTATTTCCCGCTTCCTTTGTATTTCGTTCATTTGATTACAAAGGTGCTGTTTTCATGAATTATTAACGTGTTTTTGAGTCGGCACACGTTTGAGTGGCAGCTGAAGTTGTTTTAAGGCCCGCGTACACAGTCAACAAGATATTAGTGAGGCCACTATTTGTATCGTGAGCACGTCATTCCGTCAAAGCTGGAAGCGCATTTAAAGAAATTGTTCTTGGGTGAAATATGGCGATCCCTTGCTTGTATCCGGTTTTACGACCGGGAAAATATGCGCCATTGATCAAAATAATAAAATATGTGAAGCAATAGCGCCGCGAAATATGTAGGAATTGTTTTTGATAAACGGTCCTCTCGAGATCCGTATCTAAATAGAGCACTTAAAAAATTGATACTCGGCTGCGGCTTTGCCAAACTATTACTTTGTTAACGTCGGTTTTGGGAGCAGGGACCGACGAACCTTCGGTTTTATTTATAAATAACCCGACGTTTTCTTCACCGTTGATTTTAATCTGTTTCTATTTATATGCGCCAAAGTGTAGATAATTTTCATATTGGCTAACTGTGACAGGGTTTTTTTTCTCCCGGCGCATCCGCCATCCCCTGGCCTCCGAATTTTTTCCAATTTCCGGCGGCAGCGGCGCTCGGACGCCTTGAGTTTTTTAATTGCGAAACAGTGCGTTTATCTTGAAGAGAATTTTAATTAATGAATAATGAATCCGCCCCCGCCTCGGCGAGCCGCGCCCTGGAACTATCGTCCGAGCTTTTCCTCTTGTTATTTACGTTTCTGTTCCGATAGCTCGGGCAAAAACAAAGCTTCCAATGTATAAATTTATTATTTGGTGCATTACTCGCGGGAACTAAAACTCATGACAACAAGGCGAGATATTGATTTATACTGTCGGTCTGCTCCTAACAATATTTATGGGCGTTTTTTCGCCGAACATTATTCACAAAATAAAGCACATATTGCGAGCAACTCATCCATATGCAATGCGCCCATCGATACACCCCGAATCTTCTTTCTCTGGATGATTTATGCGCACGACTTAATTATGTGCTGCACCTCCTGCCGATTCTTCCCGGAAGTCGAATCGCCGACTTTTGCGCTTTCTTCGCCGAAATAACATACGATTCGAAAAACTCCTTCGGACGTGCGACCTTTAATTGTTTTTTCTTGGCACGGCGTCCACTCTTGGACGCCTGCCACCGTGGAAGCTCCACATTAAATACCGCAACGTTTTCCATTTTAATTTCAATTTTTGTCGGGAGCAGTTCCGCGAGAACGTAATTGCCGTCGAGTCCAAACTATGAATCCCCGGCAAAATTGCTCCTCTCGTCCTTCACGAGCCAAATGGAACCCTAACGACACAAAGCCCCACACAAAAGACAATGAAATATTCATTAGGCGAAACAATTTGTCTGATTCTGCTGTTTTGCAACTTGTGTATTGCATTAGAAGTTTCGGCGACGGAACTGCCAGGGAATCTAGCCGCCGGCGCTCGTTCGCATTCAAAAAGTTGTTATATTTTTCATAGGAAAAGCGGAAAAATACTGTTTGCAATTCAAATCGCTTTGATTCCCACTTTGGCGAGAGGAAAAAATCACGAGCAGGGGCGGATTGCAGCCGGATAATAATAATAATTTACCGCTTTTCGAATACGTTCGGGTAGGCAGAAAACGGAAAAAACCGACGTAAACAAATAATCGACGGCAGGACAACAAAAGCAGAGGGAAATTGCAAATTAAGTGGAATAAATAAATAACGCTGTCATTTTTACTCCCTGAGCGTAAGCTAAGGTTATAGAGGTTATCAAAAAAAAAAAAGATTTGTTGAGCTACACTTCAGGGACGAGGGAAGTTCTATGGAAATACTTTTCGACTTTTTTTTTATTTTGTACATTTTGGACACTGTAGACACCCTAGAGATTCTGGACTCTTTAGACTTTTTAAGGAAAGTCTAAATACTTTAGACACTATAGATGCACTAGACACCCTAGATGTTTTAGACATTCGTAGACAATCTAGACTCTGTCGACACTCTAGACACTTTCGATTCAAACAAAATTCACGTCAATAAAAATTCCTAGTGGCTCCGCCACAGCGCCATCGTTAAAGAAAAACACGACCGCGTCCACATAAAGTCGTCCATTAGCCTCTTCGTCTTCACCAAATGAATTCGAACCGTTTCGCGGTAACACCCCTTCGGCGTAGCGTTCCCCCGGGTCCCGTCCGCCATGAATATAAGATTTTATTGCAACGCGTTATGAAGCAACGCGAAAATTGGTCATTTTTTGTCGGCGCGAAACAATTTCCCGAATCAGAAGGCGGCTCCTTTCAGGAAACCAATTGAATCAGTACGAGATTTCACATTCGGCTCAGCTCAAACACTAATGACGCCGGCCGACGGAAATAAAACACCAGCCATGTCACTTCCTGACTGGAATAATGACGGCACGGACGGACCCGGACTCTTTAGAATTTCTGGCGCGGAGACTGGGAAATCGTGATGTTTTCGCTGAAAAATTTCCGCCGTCGAGAAAATACGTGCGATAGTTGTTCTACAATGTGGTCTGGGTTTCAGTGTCGACGACGACGGAGGATAAGAAGCCCGCCAACAACAACAACAACGCGTCGGAGGTGGTGAAGCTGACGGTGAAGAGGGCGCGACCGAAGGCGGCGTCGCCGAACAGACAGGGTCCCCAGCAGTGCCAGGTGAGTCGAGAGAGGTTAGTTAATTGGGCCCCTAATGGACGGCCGCGTCTTCGGCGGGCGAGCTTTCGGCCGGCGTAATGAAAGCGAAACAAAAACAGCGCTTTGTTTACCCATTCTTTGAACTGCTAAAATTACATTTGCTTTTTTGCTCTCATCTTGTTTTTATTGTCTTTATTATGAACGTAATAAAAGATCGAGCAGGGCTGTGCGTCGCTGTCATATTTGGAGTGCCCTTTAATATATTAAACGCGAATCACATGCTCCACGAAACTCGGAGAATGTGTAATATAACATTTCATCACGGCATCTGGTCGGACAACGCTGTAAATGGAATTGGCTGCATAGATGCAGACTTATTAAGGCTCGGGGGAGTTCAGCGGGGGCCGTTTTTGCGACTTAGGCAACCAACTACGCGCCGGATGACAGTTGGCTACGGGTGCATCTCAATGTGGCAGGCAAGCGTGAACTGCAACACCAATTATCAAACTAGGCGGATGTGGAACTACGAGGCAAGAATTCAATTAATAACTGTTAATTAAACTAACTTCTGCTGGGGCTCACTGGCAATTAATTCTACTTGTTTTCGGATCCTGTGCCGAAACTCTTGTCTCTCTGTTCGTCATCTTCCCGCAATAGTTTTGTCGAAAAATAGTTTCACGAATAATCCGCTTGCGTAAAGTTACCTCAAAATCACGTTAGAATCAAATATAATTTTATTACTATTATCATTATTATTATTTCTTTATACTTTGTTGTTGCGGAAGTCGACTGTGATTTGATTTATTATTTATTTAAATCTCTAGTAAATATAATTTTTCTTTATTCTTGTTCTTTCGACGATGGTTTTCATTCATTTCTTTTTCCATTATTCCTATACTATTTTCTCTGTTTTCTGTATAGTCTTCTACTTTATTTCTGGCTAGTTTCTCAAGAATTACTTTATAATCTAAATTGTCTTAAAAAATGAAATCTCAATACATTACGACAATAAACAAAATCTGTTTTTGTATTATTTAGAATAATTCAATTTATAACTAACTGTAAGTGATTAGAATAAACCTATCATTTCTGTTTCGTGCTGGTTAGTGCAAAAACTCGTGAGAAATGAGTTCATTTCCTGGGACCTGAATTCGTTTCCTACAGGAAGAGCTAACATTAATATGTATAATGAAGCAGTAATTAATAAATTGAATAACTGAGTCGTGTAATCTGCGTTAAACATATTCTAACTTTGTTGCAAGTGTGTAATGCGCTTAGCGTACGTTTGTCGTGGGATTTCAAAAAAAGCTCATAACAGTGCGCTATGCGCAGGACATACAACGGTGTCGTCCAACGCCGACTTCAATATAGGACGCATTGTAGCTCCATTCCTACTCCCACTCTTGATGTTTTGGTATTCAGCGTTATTTTTTTAAAGATTTTTAAAAGATTGTGGCGGCACAATAAGTAAGCGGATAAAGATAAGCGGCCTCGTGGTCAGGATACCTGCCCGGCAAGCGGGGGGCGTGTGGTTCGATTCCCATCGAGGCAGTAATATTTTTCTTCGCTTACCTACAAGATCTTCTTTGAACGAGAGTAGAATGATCCTGTTGACAGGCATTGCATTCCTACGTTACGGCCTGTATTGAAGTCAGCGTTGTATCATGACTTTTTTGTAATTCTTAAATGTTAATTTTTTTTCTTAAAGAAAAGTGGCATGATTTTTTTATTGCTGAGCTATCTCATCAAAGCTTTCATCTGCCCTGTTTTTGCTTCAGGTACTACTTACTTTGTGCTTTTTTAAGTTTTTTATTTTTTGTTTTGTCTTCGCTGCTTTATCTCCAAGGATTAAAACATTGATGACCTCAAATTATACCTCCTTACTGGCTGCCATCTTTTTCTGTATTTTTTAGTAGTAGTACCCCGCTGAGTGTATGCCTCAAGTCTACGTTCTATGGTGCTCCGTTTCGCTAGCCCGACGGGCCGACCTCGATCTTCCCCCCCATTCAAGGCAAACACCACCCCGACTATAACACCTTCCCCTTTCTCTTTGCAGGTATGTGCCAAAGTGTTTGGCAACGCCTCCGCCTTGGCCAAACACAAGCTCACCCACAGCGACGAGCGGAAATACGTCTGTACCATGTGTGGGAAAGCGTTCAAGCGGCAGGACCACCTGTAAGTCAGCCCTCATGGTACAAGCACCCTCCCTACAGGTCTTCACCATCCCGCAGTGGGGCGGACTCGCTAAAGGCGGCCAAAACCCAAAACCTTGGCCGCGTTTCGCCCCTCTGCCCCACTGCACCCCCCGGATGCTGAGGACCTCTCCGAGCCGCCTCTGACGCGCTTCTTCCCGCAGGAACGGCCACATGCTGACGCACCGCAACAAGAAGCCCTACGAGTGCAAGGCCGAAGGCTGTGGCAAAAGTTACTGTGATGCTAGGTCTTTGCGGAGGCACACCGAGAACCACCACAGCTCGGCGACGGTCAACACGACGACGACGACGATGTCGCCGGCGCAGGGGGCGGCGGCGGGGGACGCGGCCTCGCCGCACGGCTCCAGCTGCATACAGTACGCGCCGCCCCCGACCTCCACCTCCAGCGGGAAGAGCCAGCTGCAGCAGCTGCTGGCCACCGAGCCGGCGAAGGTAAAGTAGAGCTCTGTTTACAAACGTTTCGGAAAAATTGGCAGTATAGCAGCGCTTGAGCAGTTTTGAGTGTTTGAATCACTTGTGCCGCGATGGAAGTTGTTCCGCGGCACTAAATAACCATCTTTTTCCAGAGAAACTTTGCTTGGGATTGGTACCACTGGAGCGTGGTTATTAGGTTTTTTCTTGTTGATTTAACAACGTTCTTTGCTGTGTACAATTTCATTGACCGCGTAAGTCAAACAAAAGGGAATATTAGCGCCGTCTGCTCGTGAATTAATACCGAATTTACGCCCGGATTGAATTTACAAGAAATTACGCTCGAACGAGCCGGAACGTTTGTTTTTCCGTTGCGGTTAGGTCAGTGGGTCTGTTTGTTCAGTGGGATGGTTTCGGGGAAATTCAAATTTTAAAGAGAGTGCTCGGGGAGGAGAGAGCGCGGCCTGTGTACACACGTCTAAGAGTCAAGAAAGTTAAAATGAGACGAAATAAATTTGGAATAATAGCGGAACGCACCCTTCCAGCCTACACACCGCGAGATTAATAAAATCGTTACGAAATATTAAGAATGTTCGTTTCCGCGTCACGCCGGAACGCCGAATAAAAATGTAAATCTGCTTCCGGGCTTTATGAATAGGAGTAGAGGCGAATTTATCTTTGTTCTCGGGATGTGGTTAACTTTCGTGGAAGAAAAATACACCTGCTTCTAAATCTCACTTGAAAGATGTAATTTGTAATGCTCAAGGAAATAATGTCAGATCTAGCCGGAAGTCTGCAGTAATCCGAGTAATAATGATGGACGTACGAAAACTACATTCCGCAGGATGATGGCGGGTTTAAATATTGAAAGAGTGATGGAGGCGACAGGAAGGACCGAGAGTGAAAAATGAACTCGGATTGCACTGATTTTTATCAAAACTATTCATTTTCATTTCATTTTTATAACGATGCCAGGGTAGCCAATCTGGTCTTGAAGTTTGTGAAATAAGCAAAGAACTCGGCTCACTTAGGCTTTACTGAGATTCATTTACCATTTTGTTGAAACCGAAGTCCTAATCTTTTTCGTTGATCTTCTTGCCAGTCTTGCTAATTTTTTAAGTGATTTGCAACTCCTATTAACGATGAATTTTGCTTGCGGATTTTGAATGTTTCTCCCTTCACATTTTATATCCAGAGCTGTACCAGTTGGATAATGTCAGAATTATCGAGTGCACTTCTCTTTTCTATTTAGGTCTTCAAAAATAGGATAGAATTTTTTTCTTCTGCATTGTTTTTTCTGTGCTCTAGTCTTCGCTTAATAAACAAACTTACTTCAAAGATCAGGGGCGGTCCTAGCAGGATTTACCCAGAGTGTAACTACTTATAATGCCAAAAATCTGAATGTTCTTACACTGTGTTAAACATTTCCGAGAATTATTTATAATAAATACGTACTCCTTCAGCGACGGTATCAGGACGTCCCAATGTTAAGACTATCATGTTACGCTCAACCTAGCCAAAGTAACCGTCCCACCAAACATAGAAATAATAACAAGCTTACATAATGAACAGATATCAAATCAATTCGTATTCTTTTAAATTTTTCGGGTCATTTATGGCACTCCTAAAGCGACAAAGCGGCTTCTGTATGCGTCACTCATTCGAGAAAATATATTAATCAATTCCTACGAAAAATATTAATTTACCATATCAGCAAAAATCGCTGTCACTCTCATTTTCATCTAAAATTAGCTTTATAACCAAAAATAATCTTTGCGTAAAAATTTCTAAAAGTATCACCACAACACTAAATTTCTTTTATTTCTGTAAATATTACCTAAGCAAAATATCTCCAATTTGGGGCCCGTAGTTTCTAAAATTTTCGTAGATTATTATTCTTACAACGTAAGCATGTTTTTTCACTTTCCTCGAGATTCTTTCCACATCTTCCAAAAATTAAACAGGAAGAGCCCCCGTGATGTTTTCAACTTCTTCCAAAATAAAACCAAGGGCCCACGGAATTCTTCTTTCGACATCTTCGACAAATAAAACACCAAGGGACCCCGAGATTCTTTCAACATCTTCCAATATTAAACAGGAAGAGCCCTCAAAATGTTTTCAAATTCTTCCAAAAATAAATAGGAGAGGCCCCGAAGACTTTCAATATCTTCTAAAAATAAAACACCAAGGGTCCCCAAAATGATTTCAACTTCTTCCAAAAATAAACACGAGAGGCCTCGGAGACTTTCAAGATATTCCAAAAAAAAAAGAACACGAAGCCCACGAAATTCTTCTTTCAGGATTTTACACAAATAAAACACGAAGGGGCCCCGAGATTCTTCCAGCATCTTCCAGAAATAAAACACGAAGGGCCCCGAGATCCTTTCAAGATCTTCCAAAAATAAAACATGAACAGATTCTTTCCACTTCTTCCAAAAATAAAACACCAGGAGCCCCCAAAACCTCAATTTCACAATGGCGAGATACAGAGATGCCATAAGCTAGCCACAAAGTTAAAATAGGGTAGACTCCAATAAAATTTAGATAAATATCGGTTCAAGTATGAAGTTGTTGCAAACATAGCAAACAGATTTTTTTTTATGTACTTACTTTTCATAATATACAGTAATTTATTTGAAAGCACCAACCTAAAGTAATAAAAAAAAAACTGATGGGACTGTGAAGGGCAGTAGATGCCTAGGACCGCCCTTGATAATTATTCCTGCTATAACTCCCCTTTTCCAACGGATAACGTGATCCAAGTTTAAAAATTTCTACAAGAACATGAATGGACAAATCCTCCCGTCGTCGCTGGACGCTCCATTTTTGAATCGCCCTTTGTAACTATGATTTCTATACGATGTTATTAAATTTGCAGCCGAGTTAAATAAACCTTTGACGGCGCGCTCATTTCGATGCACCGTTCCTCTGACAACGCCGCATGCAATTACTCTTTGTTCCAGAGCGGCAGCGGCGGCAACAACGATGGGTTAACCAAACAACAACTGGATCTAATACATCAAATAATGGAACAAACCCAGAGACAATCCCAGTCCGCCAGCAAACCAGCAACAAAGCCGGCCACAAAACCCATTAACAAAACACCAGTCAAAGTGCAGAGGGTGTGGACGTCGACGGTAAGTAGTTGCAATAAAGCCGAGTGCAACTAATTAAAGACGTAACGATCGATCTAGCTTCGCATCGAAAGCTCCAATATGAGTGATGCTTTTGTACGGGAGCTTCCCGCTATTCCACAAACGAATTCAATAATTACTCTTCGCATGGAGCAAATTATACTGCCAATTAGTTCCGACAGTGGTTTGCTTTATGAATATAAATGAATAAACCCCTGCTATTGCCGGAACCGCAGCGCACTCGTACCTATTTCATTGTTGCCGATTCTTCCGCATTTAATCGGATTGCAGCTAATTTTACTATTTTGGACCTCGTTATAACAACGCCGCAACGACTACAAAAAAATGGAAAAATTTCCCGTTGAACTGAAAAATAATACTATTGCTATTTCTGTGAGTCGGTGCAATAAATCTTTCCCGAGGAGATGTTCGGTTTTTCCTCGCGCAGTTTTCCATCGCGGCACGAAATTCCTCCCAGCACGATACAGTTGTTGAAAAAAGCGATTCGATTAGAGGCCTGCGTTACTTGTAACTAATTACTCCGAACCGCTGTTCTCGCAGCCCGACGTGTACGAATTACGTCGATTTGATCGACTCAGTCGGCAATAATCGAAATTTGTTTCCTGCCCGAACGGTGTTAACAATGCGGACAATTACCGTGGCATTCGCTTCGCCCTACGACTAGTCCCAATAATTAGAGAAGTTTGCGCTTTCGCACAAGTCAAAAGCGAAACACGAACCGGCGTCTGAAAGGGACGTAAAACTTTGGACATAAAATAAATATAGTGAAACTCGGTTATAACGATGTCGGGGGGACCACTGTAACCGAGGTGGCGTTATTAAGGCACTCACTGAAAAAGTGCATTATATGTTTTATTCTAATTATTTAAGGTTTGGTTTGCTGTATGAGCAGTAGCATTATCCTGTTGTAAAAACCTCATCTAGCTGTTCCGCAAATTGGTATAATGCGTCTTCTTCAAAGACCAAGTTCCAGGTGATTTTTTCGATTTTCGCGCATTTCTCGCTTCACACGCTTGCCAAACTCCCTCCGAACCGTGCTCTTGAAGGCCCCAAAGGGGTGACCCAGCCGGACTGACGGGCCGGTCCGGGGTCAAAGGGCGGCCGGTTCTCACAGGCCCCTCGTGTTCGTTACTCGCCGACAGGTAAAACTGCGCCGATTATTCATGGGGTGTCGAACGCGAAGAGAAGTTAATTCGTGGGCGTCGCAGGCGCGAACGTGCGTCACATTCCCGGTGCCGGCAAGCGAGGCGAACTTTGTCAATTTTAATCGTATTAATTCGTACGGCAGCATTCTGCTAATTGGAGGGCTTAAAACCTGGCGGAATTCCTCCGCGGAAATTAATTCATTTTTCGCGAGCCGAGCTGCGGCAGGGCTCGCTTTCCAATTAGTTTACTATGGTTAAAATTTCAAGTGATTAATTGCGGGTCAAAGTAATTACTAACTTGTAAAAAGTCGGAGAAAAAGCCGCCGCAGAGACGGAGCGCTTGTATTTATTTTGCGGCGGAAGGCTGCGGGGCGACGCTTTGACTTGCTGCTGCTTCAAGAGGGATTTTTTAATATTTGATTTTTTTTAAATTTCGCCAATTTCGAATTATTTATTCGCTGCTTTCACGTTCAGTCGACCTCCAGAATTAAACTTCGGTACAGCCTTTGGACATTTTAAACTTTTACTTTCCGAGCGTTTTTTCCTTCGACGTTGCATAGTTTCTAGAATATGACAAAATAGGTCTCTCGTTTTCAACTGTCTGTCGTCTGCTGGCGATGGGGCAAATTATAAAAAAGCCACCTTCTTCAAAAAATAAGGTCTCTGTAAGAGTAGGGAAAAATCAAAATTATACAAGTTAGTTTTATTGATTAAGTACTATTTTATATTTTCACATAACTTAACTTTGTAACGTATCTGAGAAAACAAAACTTAATTACAAGTGCTTCCAAGGCGAAGAAAGTTGTATATAAATTACTATTATACCATTTTTTCCTTCGCACCCGGGACCTTTAAACCCGAAATAAATGAGCAGAAAACTTTAACAGTTCAGATAACACTCATTGGTGTACAGAATGGAGAACCCCAGAGAATTAGAAATAAGTGATGAGTGAGATAGCCACAGAATTAAACTCAATTAATGGGGCTAGCGTAAAAACAAGGTTATATTCTTTATTTAACATACAAGTGTCCTAAATTCCAACAGACATGACATATTACTTTCTATAATTGTACCCATACGGTTTCCGTTCACTATAAAACCGGAAATCACATCAACCTTTTTTTTGTGTATTTATGTCGCAGTTGAATCAGGACACATTGTCAATAGGTACCCTTCGGCCTTGATCTACTTTTCTTAAAAATGATAAAACAGGTTTGATTCACGTAGTTTTAAATTTCTTATTCACCTTCCCTGTCGCGCTGCATCTGACCCAAATTTCAGTTGGCCCTTTTTAAATTGAGGAAAACTGGGACAAGGGTCGCCACTCGGCCTTCCCAAAATACAATAAGTGTACAGGGGCGGCATACCAAAAAACGATAATTAAGAGATTACCCAAATATTTACAACTAATGAGTTTTTGAATTTTGTTACAAAAAATTGCATGTACGTTAAGTTCTCAGGACGAGGATCCCTCTCACCCCGATATTTCCGGCGCACATTTCCCAGATAAACGAAAATAAGTCGATGTATTTACTGAAAACCGCATCAGATCGCGTCCGGGCCCCTCCGGCCGCCGATTACGACGATAACAATCAAAGACCCGATCATTATCGAGAAATGGGAGCTCCTCTCGACAAACGACTACAATTCCGTAAATTGTCCGTAATTAGCACGCCCTCCAGAGAAACAACGCTATGCGTGACGTAACCACAGTTATTACGGGTTTGTTTTTATCTCCGAGAGCGGGAAATGCGCCCTATATTATTAAACCTGAATCCGACAAGATTCATTATATCTAATCCGGTTATCTGGACCAACTGACGTCACACGGTAACCACCTTCCGATTTATCCCCCTTTGATACGCGTAGTTAGTCGGAACTTTACCAGACTCGCATCCATATTATCCCCAAGTACAATTTAGTTAGTGAAAATGTGACCGTTCCAAGTTCGCTAACAAGATGAACCACTGGTGGAACTACTACTACCACTACCACTTCGGGCAGGTATCTGCGAATCTCACCCACGCACGTAACGAAGTTTTCGGAAAAAAAACTGCGGCGACTTTTTAACCGAAACGTTAAAACGTCTTTGATTGAGCGAAACTAGCTTTTCCGAAAACCTTCGCTGCATACGTTAATTGACGTCCCTTTGAGGGAATTCGTTCGGTTCCGTCTAAAAAATGAAAGGCAGCATGTCTTGTTTATTTTAATGTAAAATGGAGCGGAGTTAATTAAGCGAAAAAATTTCATTGAAGTCTCGTTATGTGTACAGACGCAGCAGACTTCATCAAACAAAACAAGTGGGAGCGCTACGAGTCCGCAGGCGAAAGTTACCACGACCACCCCCTCGACCTCCCCGGCCGCCACCGCCGCCCCCAATAAACCGGAGCCCAAGCCCGTCGAGTGCAACCTATGTCACAGGAAATTCAAAAACATACCCGCCCTCAACGGGCACATGCGGCTGCACGGCGGCTACTTCAAAAAGGTATCCGCACTTCACCCAAAAACCCCAGCAGATCTACATTTTTTGGTAATCGTTTCCAGGACGCGGAGAACAAGAAATGCGAAAAAAAAGACGCCACCGGCCCCCCGCTGCAGACGGCCAGCGTGAGCGTGCGGGCCCTCATCGAAGAGAAGATCATCAACAAGCGCATCACCAACCCGCAGACGTCGGCTGCGTCGGCGGCGTCGTCGTCGTCGGACGAGCCCCAGCAGAAGTCGACGGCCCCGCCCTTGTTCCCATTAACTGTGCATTCCTCTGCGAGCAACTCCAGCGACCTGGACACGAAAATAACTTCTTTCGTCGTGCCGGCGCCACCCCAGCAGACGGCGGAGAAAGCGCGAAGACATTCCGATGCCGAGGCATTCAACGTGTCCAGGACCTCCACCACCCAGCAGAAAGCTGAGGCTCTGGCAGATCTCATCCTCAAGAGAGACAAAGTCTCCGTGAAACGCACTACCTCCGATCCGGGCCAATCCTCGCAGATCATCCAGTTTCAGTCGGCGGATTCCTTCACGTTGACCGGGGTCACGTACCAGTCGGAGGACGGGGAGTACCTGTCGCCGAGTCTCCAAGACGAGGTAGCACTTGGAGTTTTACTCTGGCTTTTTAATGATCTTTGTGTAGGTCTTCACGCAGGTGCAGGACACGATGCTCCTCCAGGGGGTGGACCCGCACCAGTTGGCGTCCATCCAGTTCCAGACGGACACGCTGCTGCAGGACCAAAACGACCAGCAGCTGCAGGACATCGCGCTGGAAGATTACAGGAACCTGCAGGAGGCCGTGGTACAGTCCCCGTCGTACCAGTCGAGTCACTCGGTCAACCAGGAGCTGCAAGCGGTGCTGGACTCGCCCTTGCCGGAGAGTTTGGCCGAGTTTAGCACGTTCCATTCGACCACCAACCTGGACATACCGTCTCCGGGGTACCAGACGCAGTCGCCGGCACAGTTCACTGGGTCGCCGCACACTTCCCTCACCGCACAATCGCCGCTGCAGAGTCCGCTGATACGGCACGATTCGCCAGGTTTTGCATATCCGACTCCTCCGGCTAGCCACGAGGGGCAGAGTCCGTGCTTCGGCCAGAACACGCTGCTGCCGATGGTGTCTCCCAAGCAGAACGAGTTCGGGCAGGTGGTGGAGAGAGGCGTCGACGAGCCCCCGCAGGCTTCTAGCCCTCTGTCGGCCGCCTTCTTCACGTCGACGATGTCGAGTTCGGCCGCCGTGGAGGAGGCGCTCGAAGAGGTTTTACCGGGGGAGAGTATTCCGAACGACGACATTTACCCGTTGACGAATTCGCCGCCCCCGCAGTCCCCGTTGAGCGTGGGGTTGACGCCCGTGCCATCGCCCCTTTCCAATATCGTGACGACTTCCGTGCCCTCTCCTCACCCGTCGACCACTTTCACACCCTCCCCCAACACCGTGACCTTCCCCATGTCCCCACATTACACCCTCCAGTCTCAGATGATGCCCAACTCCGAAGACCCTCTTCTGTCCAGCAGCCCCAAGGACTTTGCGGCTCGGAAGAAATTCGAGTTCAACGGTGTCCCGTTGAGGGTCATCAGCAACAACGGACTCCTGGACCTGAATAGTGCTAACTTCGCCGGTATCCTGGTGGACGCCAACGGCGAAATCAAATTCATCCAGACCGGGGGTAACGCCTTCCAAGCCAAGAACTTCCTCGTAGCCAACACTTCCATAATCCCGACGCAAGAGGACGAGAAGAACGCCGCCCAGAAACAACAGAAGGTGCTCAAAATTCCAACGAAACAAATCATCGCAAGGCCTAAGCAGATAAACGACTTGAAAAGAGAAGAGAACAACGACGTGTTTCTCAGTCCCACAACGTAAGGTTGCACTTCGAGAGTGACCTTTTGTAACCTGTCGTTTTTAGGATTCCCGCGAGTCCGGTGAGGGCTTCCAGGAAGCGGCCTAGAAGTGAGCCGCTCCAGCTCCCGGTTTTGCACCAGTCTAAGCTGAGGGCGACGCGGAGTAAGCCACAGGGCTGCGCCCCGTACACGCCCCAGCCGATTTTGAACCCCCAGAGGCCCGGAACCGGGTTGTACGCGAACATCAAGGTCAAAACAGGTAAGAGACGCGGCGGCATCGTGGAGTTCTTCGTAAAAGAAAAAACAACGCCAAACTTTCCATAAAAAGAATTAATCCGTTGAGCAATAAAGTTGTTATTATTATTATTATATCACGCAGAAGACGAGCCGAGCTGGAGCAGCGACCCGATCCCGGAGAGCGACTCCACCCCGCACATAAACGTGGGCCCTCAGTTCCAATGCGCGATACCTCCTTTTACGTCGGTTCCCAATAGGACGAACCCGGAGCCGACTTACGAGGACCTCCTGTGGGACCCCGGCATAAGCGGGTGCACAGATAGTGAAGGTAATGACGAAAATAGCATCTCTTCGAGAATCCAAGCGGGGGTCGGTCCGTCCCGGAGGCGACCGGCCTATGGGACGCACCGTCCCCCGATCCATCGGCTCATGAACAAAATCTAGTTTTTGCTTGTTGTTTGAGCCACGCTGTGGCGATTTCAACAGGTATGTGTTAGCATTGAATATGTGCAGTTGACATGTACTTGGATTTCGCGTGCTGCGCTGCAGTTCCCGGTGGAGGGAGGAATAAGGAGTACGCCATGCACCTCTTACACTTGTGTGGCGGAAACATACACGTGAGTAGGAGATGGGTGCGGCTTCTGGACGGGGTGATAACGAGGTATGTTACAGGACGCGATGCTGAAGCTCATGCAGCCGGCGCCGATCCTCCCCTCGGACCACCCGCTCCTGTGTTATCAGTACAGCGAGAGCGATAAGTGGACGTCGTCCGAAACTGATATATTCCATAAGGCGCTGCTGAAGTACGACAAGGACTTCCGCAGCATTGCTCAAGAGGTAAGGAATCGGAAGGAGCGGTCAGGGTTAGAACTCACGTGGCGGTTTCAGATCGGGACGAAAACCATCAAACAGTGTATACAGTTCTACTACGTCTGGAAGAAGGTGTGCATTGACGAGTACCGCAAGCTCAAGTACCTGCGGGAACGGAGACACAGCCATTCCAAGGGCACCGACTCGGAATTGGAAGAGAAACTGTATCCTGACGCCAAACTCTTAGGGGTAAAGCAGCGCTTTTAGTCTTCGCCTCCCGTACATGTCTTTTCGTAGATCGTAGATAGCGGTTCGCCGATGCCCCTCCAGGAGACCCGGAGTTTCATTTGCGAGTTCGCGGACTGCTCAGCTGTGAGTATCGGCCTGTGTATCGTATAGTTTTGCGACCTTTGATGATTGCAGAGTTTTAACTCCCGCGCTGCCCTCAACGGGCACATACGAATCCACGGAGGAACCGCCCGGAACTCCCCGACGCCGTCTGCGAACGCAGACAAGCGCACTTTCTCCTCAGTAAGTTCCACCGTATGTCATCCCGACTCGACCGAAGATTACCCCTGTAAGATATGCGGGAAGTAAGTGTACTCCATTCAACATAGCATAGCTAAGGTAAATGATCGGTGTGTTGCGTCCTCTGCTTACGTGCTAACACTATCGTTATTCTTACTACAACATCCAGTGAGCGGACTAAGGTATCTTTAGTTACCCTTCGGGCCGTTCGGCTCGGGGCGACCTTTTTATACTTTCAGTTCAGGTGTACTTTTTGTTGTTGTTTTGAGTTTTCTCGCATGGGTTCGTTTCAGTTGTTTCTTATGCAGACTTCTTTGCTACTGGAGTTACTATATAGATCTTCTTAATAGTGGAACAAATTATATATATACATATTTAGAAAACATGTGATACTTTGCACGTGAGCATGTCACAACAACAACATCCATTATAAACAGGGACCGATCATCATCGCACATATAATACGACGAGAGACACATTGTAGGGCTGGGCGCAACGGCCTCCATCGTGGACTTTTTTTTGTGGGTCGTCCGAGCTGGGGGCCGGTGCGCTTGACGTTTCTATTCGTCCATTTATAGTCTAACCTAATGAGCTTTGTTCGTTGACAGAGTCTTTACAAAGATCAAGAGCCGGAGCGCCCACATGAAGTCGCATCGGCCGCCAGACGCCGAGCCCGCGAAACGCAGAGAGAAAGAAGCGCAGCATCCTTCGTGTACAAGCTTTGAACTTTCCGTGCCAAGCCCGTATAACACTTAGTACTAGAAGTATCCAAATCAAATCGTAAAACGAATCAAAAGCAGGTAAAGGGCAATCAAAAGTTTTCAGTTCGAGTCAGATCAAAAAAATAAATAAACAAACAAACAAAAGAGCAGATTTCTAACTACGTACTACAAAAGACATGTAAATTATTCAGAGAAATAAGAGAATTAGAAAATTGTAGGTAAAATATAGGTAGAGTAGTTGTACAAATTGCAATCCACATATTACAGAGATTTATATTTAATATTGATAGGGGTTGTGTGCGTTACATTGTCGTAACGTTAGTGCCTTTTCGAATGTCGAGTGAGACACTACTACGCTTGCGTTACATTATAGGTAACGGGGCGGTTTCAGTACCATAGCGATCTGGTATTTTGAATTAGTGCTCAGAAGTTCAACTTGCACGATACTCGGTTTCCTTCTGTAAGTTCTCATGAGCAATAGATCTGAACTCAAAAAAAAAAAAAAACTAAATAATCAAATATCATAATGGCCATAATAGCGCGAACTATACGTATTGCGGCGGCGGCGGCGGCCCCCGCGTCCTCGCCTGAAGTATGTCGTGTATTTGCTCAAACGTCACTTTTATTATTACTATCGTTACTGTTATTAGTTCGGTGGGTGTAGAGAAACTGATATTTTATTAGCACTACTAATTGTACGAGGTGTGAATGTCTCCTAAAATGTGCCACTGAGGCGCGGCGCGGGGGGCGGCGCGGCCGCCCACTTTTTTAAAGTTGGTACAATTTGGTACTTTTAACTCTGTGTTGTGATCTTTTTAAAAGTCTATTACTATGAATCTATTTATATTAATACTTAATATAATGAATATTTGTACATGTTACTGTATGTATGAGATTAGATTAATTAGGGTCGGCGCGTCGCCAGGGGAAGCCCCGGCCTTTTCCAGTAAAAAAATGACAATCCACTTCATTTTATTCGTATTTATGTATCGGTGTTTTTTGAGTGTCTGCAAGACGTTAAACATAGGTTAAGTGCTTATAATTATATCATCCAGATGTATATCGAACTCACTGTTGGATGTTTCTCTCGAGAGAAAATCAAATGTTGTATGTTTTACTTGAAACGCTCATGAGGTACGTAGGTTAGGCGTGCTCGGGCTCCTCTGGCTGGGGCACGACCGAAGACTGGGCCACTTGGTGGTAGTCGGTATCAGGTGCTCAGACCTATCAATTAATTGTTGTTAAATTAATGTACCTACCTTTGAATTGACAGGCATTTGCTGTTGAAACAAATTTTCAATAGAGTAGTAGAAGAAGAATTCATTTCGACGCAGTGACTCATATCACTTTCCTTTTGTATAAAAGAAAAATTACTATTACTAAAAAAAAAAAATAAGACGCTGTCTAATCACGGCCTAACGTTGTGGTGTAGTCGGAAAACTGAGACGATTTACTTGTGATATACTGTTAAATGTTGAAATGTCTGTCAGTTCTCTAGATGATCACCTTGTGTTACGTATATGTGACTTGACACTAGATCTTTTCAGTGTGATTTGAGAACAATCATTCATGTAAAATAAACCTAAAAATTGCTGTGGTCTTTCAAGAGAAAACTATATATACAATAACCTGACTGTCCAGCGTTGTTTTGAGGCATTGCGACTGCCTAGCAGCTTTTAGTTGAGTCGTTTTAGTTAATTCGGAACTAGTATGAATGTGTGCCTGTATAATAATTTCATTTGTGCCAACATTGGATATCATAGTTGAGCTTAGCAAAGTGTCATGTAACATATTTTAGTATAAAAGATGCTTGTATATTTGTAAATAGGCTAAAATATTTACCCTTTTTCGCACCGACATCTGCCAACAATCACGTTTTCATCCGTTCTTTTCCACGTTTTGCGTTCGCACCGATTCTTGGCACATGTCGTGTTTTGTAAATGTTTGAGGTTTTATTGATAGATTTTTGCCAAATTGTTTGACCCCATTGCATCGCCATTTGTAGAGGGGACGTGTAGTATGCAATAAGCTATACATAAGAAAATTTACTCTGTGTATTACAAAAGTTTAACGATCGCTCTTACTTTCCGTTTCGTCTGGCGCGACGTCGGGGACGGCGGCGACAGTGGTTGCTGCCGCCGCCCCCGACGCCGCGCACACAACGCTTCGTTCTGTCAAGAATCAACAGAGAATCGAGCCGTTCCCTATCCGTACCTGACATTTAACATTTTCATTCATTGTTATATAGCCATTTCGGTACTAACTGTATTAACCCGTTGTGTTGTTTCCTTAGAGTTGAGTGCGTTTAATACCTAAACAGAAAAGAATAAAAACAGAGTATTCCCCAACTAAATAAAATAAGATAAATTCGTGTAATATTTTACATTTATGATGTCTCAAGATGTTGTGCTCATTTTATATCAAATAACAAATGTAAATCTTTAATCAAATGTCAATACTTGTAGCTCAAACTTTTTATATTTTTTTCAAATCCGAATAATACAATCTGTAGATTTTTATGACCGCGTGCGTCATGACAGTGTGTTCAAATTTGAGATTTTTTGCAGTTGTACTTTTGTACCTCCAAATTTTATTTTCCGTCATCAATTTATAGACAATCCCTTCGGTCAAATGAAACTATAACTGCAACGAAACCTCAATGTTGTAAAAAAAACGTAGAAATACTCTACATGCGTTTGTAACTGTAATCCAGTTTTCTATCTTGTGTTATATATATTAATAATTGTTTTGTTTGACTGTTTTAAAAAAGATATTTGTTGTTAAATTCTGTCCAAATATTTCCAAACGTATGTTTAAAAAAGTGTATATGTATATACTTGTATTATTGTATGCACAATAAAATATGGCGTTGTAATTATACCCAGGTGTTTGCAAAAAAGTACAAAAAAACCTCGACCTTTTATTTAACCGAAAAACGTACACCTCTCCTACAGATCTACTCCCTATCGGCGGGCGCCGCCTTCAAGCTCTTCAGCGCCATCTGCAGCGCACCCTCTTTGGTCTTATTACCCCCTATAAAACCAGTGGCGTGGCAAAAAATGCACCCCTCGATTCCCGCGATCCCCGTCAGCTGGTCGTCCCGCACCCCTCGCCAGTCCTTGTGCAGGAACACCCTGCAACCGCTCGATTACAAAAAGCCGATAACGCAGATCCCTCTACCTGCACACGAAACTGTCGGGTTGGATCGGAATCCCCTGGACCCGCCAGGAGTCGCTCTTGTCGTGAAAAATGACGAACTTTAGCTGATCCTGGATCCCCATTTCCTCCTCCAGGGCCATGAGGTGCTCCTTCCAGGGACAACGCTCCTGCAGGATCATTATTTCGCCCGACTCGTGCACTTTCGTGCGGTTTTCGATGGAGCTGCGGACGATTTGGCGCGCCGGCCACCAGATCGTTGCCGCCTAAGAAGTCAAAAATGAGTTCGCCGCAAAAACTACCTTTTCTAGATAAAATATGTCCTCAACTTTACTACAGTCACTCAACATATCGTTGAAAAAGTATGTGAAAAACTCGAAAAAGATCAACTAGATTACGTAAATAAATGTCATAGGGCGCTTTTGTTAAGAAAATGACGACAGTGACGCAACTACTGACGTGAGAATAATAATACAGACAAACTTACCTCGATGACACGTTCTTTGAACTCGGTTCCAGCCAAGTTCATGGCTTTCGTGAATAGTTCGTCGAGGGATTCAGGTTCAGGCGCGTTCCACTCTGGATTCAGTCTATGAATTCGAGCGCTTAAGTTGGTATTAATTCGGTATCTAGGTTTGCCTTCGCCATACATCGGCACCCCGTTATCGATGGCGTCCAGCTCTTCCACGAACCCTTCGTAAATATATAAAAAGATATTTTCCAAACAATTGGCAGGAATTGGATAGTCATTTTGTTGCAAAATCTCCCTGATAACGTCAGTCCCAAAATGGGCATACACTAGTCCGGCCGAACTTAACCTAAAAACACGCGTCAATTTTTATCGCTAAATGTCAATTGCGGCCTACTTGATTGAGCTTTTTTTAGAAACGTCTGGCCGAACTGTGGATAAAGTGTGCTCGAAACCTCTTTGGTGGTGATCATATCGGTGCGTTTTGTGATTGTAAACGGCGCCGACGTCGACGACGACATCACAAGTGTCCAAAATCTGTAAATTTTCGTTTAAAATTTACAATTATTAAAAGTGTGTGAGCACATACAGACAAGTCTCTGCTCCTCACGATTTCCGCGTCGCGATATTCTGGTAGTTGTTTGAGCATGTAACAAGCTAGGGCTTCATCACAGTGAAAAACTCCGCTGTGCGTGCCGATTTTTTTCATTAATTTTGGAGTTTTGTTTTCTGATGCCATTGTGGTAAAACTGAAACAAAGTTAAGCTCGTGAGTGGTCGAATTCTGGGTGAAAGCGAATCGTACGAACCCGTTCCACACTTTCAAAGCTACAGAGGAAGTAAAGCGCAACGCTTTTGCGCTCAGAGGCATTAAATCCGTTAAATCCATGCATAACCTCAAAATTTCGGCAAGGCTTTGTTGACAGGTGAAGAGCGCGTGCGCACGTTGTTGCATTAAAGTAGCACAGAAAGAAAACTTTAGTGCTAATTCAAAAAAAAATAAGCCAACAGTCGGTTCTTTCAACTACTGTATTCGTTTTTAGTTGACAGTTTTAAAATGATCTGTTACTCTGTCAGTTTATTTTTTGGTTTTCATTATTAAAAAAGTGTCGAGCATAGAACTATAAAAAAGCAGATTGCGGGTTTTGTATATCTGGTTGCCTATACACGCGATTCGATTACATTTTACACAAGGACGGAGAAATGAATGATGTTTAAAGTTTGAATAATTCGCTTTTTTCACAACAAGAGGCAAAAGTTGCGTCAAAAAGTAGCCAGACACTAAGTGTTCACTTGGATGTCGTGAAAAAATTGTATGCAACAATTACTCTAGGAGATGAAAGCAACTACACAAGAATCAAAAATGGAAATAAGTGTATTTATTACATTCATTACTATACAAACAAATCTCTAACAGTAAAGAAAGATAAATAAGTATTTCTAAAAGAAACCCAGTACCGTGAGAGTGATCTACACATAGAAGTTAAAAGAGCATTAAAATTAATAAATATCTGTGTTAGAACTATTATACAGAAGAAGAAATAAATAATATAAATAAATATCATACAAATTACAATACAAATTTACAAAACAACATTAAAACACTTCCTTTCGGAACCTAAAACCGTACTGATCACATTTTACTCTAATAATCCTGGCGAGTTGCGGCGGCCCACAATAGAACACCGTTACTTTACCTTTCTTTTGGTCTAGAATTTGTTTGAACACTTTATCCCAGTTTGGACGACCGGCGTTAGTTCTAGTCTTCAAGCCAGTTATCAAGTCTCTTTTTTCCTACAAAATACCAATAACACTATGAACCTCACCAAACCAAAATCTTACTTTCTCGTGGAGCAAGTCCAAGGCCAGCTGAAGACCGACCGCCTTCATGTCGGTCTTCTGCAGGGCACTCGTAATGTACATGTGCATCTCCAGGAAACGCTCCATGGCGCCACCCAGTTCCGCTTGCTCTATTTCCAACTGCGATAACAAATTGACAAACCATTCGAAAGACCGCTGGTTTCTGTTGATCCAGAAGAAGTCGACCTAAAACGACACAGCAATTGGCGCAGTCGGTACGATATCGCCAGCTTACCTTTCTTAAATTCATCACCGTGGCCGGAATTTCACTAGCCCAAGCAAACTTGCAACGCGGACAACAGTGGCGAGCTTTCCAGTATCTGTGCATGATGGACTGAAGAATGGAGGCGAACGGAGTGACTCCGATTCCTGTCGCTATAAGAACGGCGTGCTGGGCGCGGAAAATGTGGCTCGAGGGTGCTCCGTATGGTCCATCCAGATAAATCTAAGAAAAAATCAATCAGTTCTGCACTACGACACCACCGTCTCTCCATGCGTTAGTCACTGTGAGTCAGCTGTTAAACAAAGCTAAGCTACCACACCACATCAAAATCACCTCAGTCCCAGCCCCCACAGGCATTTCAAGTAAAATTCGATGGCGAAGCTCTTCATCGCTATCGTTAGGAGTTGCTTTCTCAAAAATGGGCTACTAACCAAAAGTTGGGATAAATCACCGCAACCAAAACAACTCGAATAATTACCTCTAGGGGTTTTCCTACGGGATAGTTCATGGGTTTAACGGGAACAGTTCCTGGGGAGAAATCGGTACGGAAACCTGCCCTACCTTCCTCCGCTTGTCTCTCGGGGGTCGAGACGAAACTAAGAGCACTGACTTGACGTCCTGAAGAAACTATTACTACCGAATCGACAAGTTTAAGTTTACGTACCGACTGAACCCAAAGAGCTGCTCGAGTCTCTCTGGTCGCAGTTTTCCAAACTAGGGGTCTTGAAAGCAATAATCGTCGGTTTGTTACGCATGTAGCGGAAACTTTGAGCCAGAGACTTGTTCTGAGGGCTGAGGTAAGCCAAACCAAGAGACTGAAGACGGGCACGGCGGATTTGACACTCGTCGAAACTTTTCTCCGACTCCGAACGCATATATTCACGCAGACTACAATTCAAACTTGTAACGTTATTCCACAGGGTTCAAAAACTTACACTAACAGCCTCTCTCTTTTTTTGGCTTTCGTTTGTATATCCGGCATCGACAAAGACTTTTCCAGAGGAGCTTTGTCAGCAAAAAGGAGTCGATGGAGTTTTTTCTCTGAATTGGGTCGTTTAGGCCGATTTGAGTAAGCCGTCAGATCGGTGTTGCTGCAAGAAGCACGATTGAAGTCGCTTTCTGCTAGTTTCCTGCTGTTGTCGTCTTGAAACGAGTCGTTGGAGAAACCCACGAGTTGGACGCCCGGTTTTCGGGTAGCATCCCGGTTCGAGAGGGTTCGAGTTATGGTAGCTTGGAGCTTCTTCAACGGGTTTTGGTTGTTGTTGTCGATGCTGCCGTTGGAGAGTCGCTTCTTGGTGTTTTGGCCACTCAAGGGTGGAATATCACCGTTGTGGAGCTTCTCTTGTTCTTTCTCGAAGTATTCGTAGAGTCTGTTCGTCCACTGACCTACAGCTCGGATGTGGAGCCACATATAATCTACAACGGGGGTTGTTAAATCGAGTTTGTCTACCAGAGTGAGTACCTTCTTGTTCCGGAGCACTACTGATGGTGAATGGGTGCCACTCGTACTTCGCTATAGCCGGAATATTAACGAACACGTAGTCCCCTGGGTGGAAGTCGAACTGGAGTGGTCGTTTAATCACCAAGTGAGTCACTTTCGAAGGAAGGAGAAGTCCCGAGCTGATGTACGTTTTCCCGCGTTCGCTCTTCATCCAGACTATTCTCATGATGCGTTCGATCCCGTAGACGCACCCAGGCAAGATAAACCATTTCCAGAAATTGGGACCGTGAAGGATTAACAGTATCCAGAAGGGCACATACATCAAATGCGTCCAGTAGAATACCTAACAATCTAATTTTGCCATCTTTAGAAATACACAATTGGACTTACCTCAAAACAGCCACCTCGTCTCACAAAGGCTTGCGAGCAGATAAACATGACCAAGAGAATGAAGAACAGGGCGAAGCCGGTGGGGTTTGCCACTCCTGGAATCAAACCGAACAGACCAGGTTTGGTGGTAAACAACCACTCGTTGGTCGTGAAATTCTTAGCGTTGATGGTCGGCGAATTAACCACGATTAGACTAAAATTGCACACGTGCATTATAGTATGTAGAAAACTGTAGGAGAAGATGAAGATTCCGGTGAGTTTGTGGAAGTAGATGTGCTGGTCTAGAGGGAGTATGGAACTGAAGCCCCTCGTACGAAGAAAGGTGATGCACTGACGCAACATCAACACCAACACGAACATACAGTTGAAGTTGAGACACTGACCTTTGGTGATTACGTTCAATAGAGGTTTGATCAAATGTTAGTGCTTATTACCTACCGCAAGCTCTTGCGAATATCGTAAACCAATTAGCCGCTCTGTACTCGATGGCTCGAGAAATGAAAAGGGCAGCGTTCACGAACAAGAAAGCCGCCAGGAAGATTAAATAAACGTAGTTGTTTTTGAAGTAGGGCTTCGTTAACTGGTAGGGCTTCAAAGCCATGATCTTCCTAACGAAAGAATCAGGTGGGGTTTTCGGCTTGGGAGGGACCAGCCACCGGTCGATGCTATAAATCATCATTAGAAGAAACGTTTTACATAATTTTCCTCCTACCTGATTGATAGGTTTTCGAGGAGCCCCCCATGCTTCTCCAGCTGGTTTTTGAGAGCTTCGTAAGTGATAGCCCCCCTGTTGTTCATGTCGGCATCCTCGAACATCGCCACTGTCAAGTCATCGATTTGCTCTTCGCTGAACTGCATTCCATTTTCTTCCATACAAGCTCTCATAACGTGTTGCAATTCTTTATGTTGTATTAACCCGTCGCCTAAAATTAAGGCGATGCATCAGGGAGCACCGAATGCTGAGCTACGTACCGTCGAGATCGTAAACTTTGAAGAGGAACCGAATTTTGTCGTCGGGGGTCTGCCCGGCGAACTGGTGCATCGAGTCCAGGAACTCCTGGAGCGAAATCGAGCCCGAGTTGTCCTTGTCGAAGATTTGGAAAACGCGCTCGGTGAAGAAAGGCTACAACGATCAAGTATTGGAATTTGTAACAATTCTGGATAAAAGTTTACGTTTTTCGAAACGACGATTTTCTTGAACTCCTCCCTGCGAATCTCCTTCTCGTTTCCCACCGTCTGCTTGAACAGCTGCTCCAGCCGGTCCAAGCTGCCTTTGTCGAATCCCGTTCTAGGCCTAGAAAGAGCACCGTTTCCAGCATCACGTCAAATTTACGATACGGTTATGGCTCCTAACTCACAATATTGCGGATAATAAAAGCCCATGTTAGAGAATTTATAGCCGCGTTACATGCCATATTTACATGCATCTCTAATGGTCAGTTTAAAATACGCCTCACCTCGCGTTGGTGATGGTCGCCAGGAACTCCATAATGTGTTCGGACGTCACGAACCCGGTGTTGTCGCGGTCTATTACCCTAAATAACTTATCTACGATCTGAAACGGACCGATGAGAAGTGGCACTCGGGCTATCTCCGACTTACTCCTTTCGCGTTAAAAATCTGGTAGAACTGCTCCTGATGGATGGGCTGGTCGCCGCAAAGGCAGAACGCCACGCTCTCGAGCTGTTCCGCGAAATCTATCTGCTTCTCATCTCTGCAAAAGCGGATTTTTATGGAAATCGCGGCCGGGGTGGAACTTACGTGAGTCGCTGCTTGAGGAACTCGATCCAGTTTTCTTGCACGAGGGCCTGGTCGCGGTCCTGGTCGAAGAGCTTGAACAGCTGCTCCAGGAGGTCCTGAAAAGACGACGTTCTTTTACATTTCGGATTCGTCTGACTGTTGACGGGCGCGCAGCCTTATCCCTCGTCCTCGCTAATAAATTGAAATCACGGCTCGTTTTTAGCCGAGATTAGAAAGCGGCCGGTTCGGAGCAATTGACCCCTGACCCCGTCGAATAAAAAGCCGTCTAGAGGCAACAGGTGTACGGTTTTATTAATAATCCGTTCGATCAGAGCACGACTCATCACGGAAAAAATGCTCGCAGCGTAAGAAGAAGAGCAAAAAGCGACAACTTGATTGCCCATTAATCACGTTCTAGGATTTATGGTTCGCCTCAATGATAGTGGAGTGAAGACCTTTCCAGTTACAAATTTATTCCTGAAAAAAGCGAGCTCTAATCCGCGCCCTGATTGATTATTTACGAATTATCTTAATCGCGAAACAAAAATAATCACAACACGAGAGAAAAAAGCGCGACAGCTCTCATTCCCATTAATCACTCACCGAAATTTATGGATGAACTCGATAATAACACCGCGATAAATTATTTTGACGCACGAATTGAACTAAACTCGCAATTCGAACGCCGCTTTTTGTTCGCACGACAAAAAGTCGGCTTGGGACGTGTCGCTGGGTCGTGCGTAGGTACTACGAAAATAGGAGATAACTGCTTCAACAACATAATTACGGATAGCCGAGATTTATGCAGGCTTGTGCATATTATGGTAAAATGGTTTTAACGGGGCTCGGGCTCGCTACGAGCGGTACCATTATGCTAATTCGATTGCCTTTGATGCCCCTCGGGTTGCGTCCGCCGTTTCCGGAAGGTGTTCCCGGCCAGGTCGCTCTTTGAACATTGTTTCTGGATTCCAAGGAGAACAGAAAAATTTATAGGTTAGAATTCAACGAGCACCCACACTGGAGTTGTTGACAGTCCAGGTGGCAAAAATTCCACGACGCCACTGCCCAGGATTTGCAAAGCGACAACTAATTCTAAATGGTCGTTAACGATTCGGATTTATAAATCTTGTCGTGGAAAGCTAATATTTGAGATTCTTGCAATATGTCGTCAGCGGTTAATCAGGATTAAGCTATAATAAGTCGCAGATGGAATAATGAGATATTACGGGTTCCGCAAAGCGACAAATTAGATATGTATTGCTACCATTAGTTACCAGGTGCATTTTTTCGACGTTATACTCAAATGAGCTCAAGACCGGCTTGCTCTTGATATAGGGAAGATCGTAGGTGTCCACTTCCTCCAGGAATCATCGGACGGAGATTACTCTAAGACTTCATTCATTCTTTAGACAACCTTAAAACTATAGAATCTTTTCTTTACCCTATATCACTCGGTTCTCGTGGGCGCAACCACCATCAACCAGCCCAGCCCATCTCTAAAACCCACTTCCACCCAACGTCCAGCAATTAACCGTCCGATAAACGCTGTTCCAATATTAGCTTAGCGGTAGATGAAAGCAACAAAGGACAATAATAACACTTGAAAGACCGCCGTGTAAAATCCATATTCCGCCCACTGGGACCGCGCCGGCTTAATTTACGACATGTAGTGACCATTTAACGTTGCAAGAACATGAAACTGTCCGAAAGGACGTACGGCCTTACACGCATCATAAACAATAAACGTCGATATGCACATGCACATTTATTGCGCTGGTCACGCAGGGGATTCCCGGAGGGTACTCCCCCATCAATCACGTCGATGGGTCCGCGGCTTGTTATTAAATTCCCATTAGCCCGAGTCATGGGTGGCGCGCCAAAACCATCTCATTTATTTAGTTTTATTTTTTTGATTTCTGGACTGCCGTCACAACGCCCATTGTGGAAACCCCCATGACCGCGTCACCTCGTCACCCATATACCCAGTAAACCGCGCTCCATCGATGCCCAATAAATCAAAACACAGTGGGGTCCGTGGAACTAATTAGGCAGAAGCCCATGAGTTGCACTTTCACCGGTACCATTGGCCGCCCTCCCCAGCGACTTGTCACAGATCGTGACCACCACACAACCTCTCTAGCCCAAACCAGTCACAGTCATCGGAGAGAGGCGATGGAAGGCTACCGCGGATTTATATCACCTGTTTTCGTAACCGCACGCCCGCACCCATTGGGTTATGGGTTAGTTCCAGCCACCCGATAGGGTTTACGGGCTTAACGATGCCCGGGAGCCGCTGACTGATGGTGATGGTAATAACATCACGTGGTGCGAAATTTATTGCGGGATTAGTGGAGATAAATCAGGCGGTTATTGCAATTTACGTGGAAATTATGAGATGGGTGGAGAGGGGGGTGGGTGCGGGTGATGGAATGGAGTGAGGTTGAAGGATTTTAAGAAGGATTAAAAATTTTAAGCGTGCTTGATGTGCTGGTTTTGTAATTGTAAAACTGCGTCAGAAGAATAGCGTCAGAAAGTTAATTAAAAGTGTGTTCTTGAGGGGAAACCTTAACATTTTTTCGGTGTTTATTTTTCTAGGCTGACGTTTTAGTGCGGCTGGACAGTAACAGAAAAATACAAACGTTTTGAACACAACTTTAAAGCGTACTAATTATAACATAAGAAAATAAAAGTAGAATTCTTGCACTCATAGATTTATTTTTTAAAGTCTACACAGATTGGAACTTCATCAGTTAAGAATTTTTATTTGTTTCGTGACCAACAACAACCAGTGGAACCCAAAATTTGCACTAGTACTCCCTATCCGACATGTATGCAGCAGAAAATTTATTTTTGTTGAGGGAAAATTTTGTCTCAATGATTTTCAAAAATTTGGTGTAGTTAGTTCGAGAAACTAAACAGAAAAAAGGATACCCACATTTTTGGGTAAAAAAATATCTGTACAACCAAAATTTGAAACGCTGGAATCTGTAATAAATATTTGGAGACAGTGAAATTCCCATTCATCGCAACAAAATAACCATATTTTTAGTAAAGACCATAACATAAAATTTAATGGCTTCATTATGCAAATTGCACGGTAAAGCGATTTTAAATGTAAATCTAATTTTCGTCAAAATCACTTGTGTTGCAAATTTTCCGAGGCCGTGTAATAGCAATCGACGACTAATGCTGCCATTGCGACACTTGCTAAGAAAAATTAGTCTAACTTCACAAATCACCTTGATTGGTTTTAAATGGGTTTGTTATCCCCATTATTCACCTGTTGTACAGAATTTTTCGTGTTTTTGTCCCATAAAAGTAACGGTAATTCGTTGTATATAGTATACATCTCGCTTAAGTCTTAATTCACGTTTGTGCATTTAACGTGTTATAAATAACTGAAACTAATTGACAGTCAGCAGTTTCGTTAGTTTTTACAGAACTCCAGCAACTCAGCCGAGAAATAATGGTTTAATATATTTTCCACATATTTGCATACGTCAAAAAAAAGCACCTATACGTCTTACTCCGTCACATTGATGACTCGATAACAAGTCCGAGGTGTGACTAATTAAAACCCACCATAAAAGCAAGAAGGAAGCGCAATTAGCATACGATTTGCTCAGTCAAACTCAAGCGTGTAATCCGATCCGTCTAATTACCAAATTCCGCCGGATTAGCATAGTCCGGTGGCTTGGACACCTCATTTTTTGACAGAGCAGACATAAAAAGCGTGATTGACGTGCCAGCGAAAATCCCTCTGATTCCGAGCCTTATCCTCTAGAAATCTCCTCCAGGTCCTTTATCTCGCCGGCTTATCGGCGACGGTTCCGTTATTACGGTGGACGGTTTGTAAATCCTCGATAAGCAATAATTATCAGCGCCATTACAGACGATTACATGCGATGCGGTAATTAATGCGATTCTATCAGATAATAATTAGTTTACGGATAGTTGTTTCCTGTCAGTGGCATTAAAGGATAATTTATGAGTCCAGTCCTGCATTGTGTAGCGGACGGCGTGTCGATATTTTATTGTGTTAGTCCGGTCCAGTAACAAGTCCTTGCGATAATTTATAATCCAAATCTATATGTAAATTCGAAAATAAGAAAAGCGACCGGATTATTTATACACTGATAAAATTAACATACCCATTTTAATGCTCAGATGGTAATCTCCGGACCAGACTGTATTTCTCCGTAATTCAATCGGGCGGAGGACGCGTCGTTGTCAATGCTTATAAATAATCGGACATTGTTAGAATTAGAAACGGTACGACGATTGCCCTAAGCTGCCTTTTACCACTCGATTTATGAAGCAGGCAGAACCGTATTCATAAATTTCGCTCGAACCGGCCTTTATTCCGTGATTTATTAAGGAATCCGTGCCAAAGCGACCGTCCATAAATTTTTCTTTTGGGTTATGAATGGGGAAAGTGGGTGGTAATCGCTCGGAGAATCATCGAGGCATTTTGCGTTACATTATTACAATTACATGCTTCGAGAGACGTTTTTATGAGCTCTGCCTCATAAATTTCTGGGGTTTCGTTAGTCGGGTGTTGAAACGAATTAAATCTTTCTTAGGAATTATGTGCCCAAATTTCGAAATCGCACGAGGCACGGAAACGACGTTCGCTGCAATAAAAAATCGCACTATTTTTATTTTCGACTTTTATTTTGTTAGCTTTTCTTTGTTATGATGTGTTGGTGTCAAACAATAAAACGCCAATTTCAAACCTATCGAAATGCGAAAATAAATACGCGCTTGGTGGGTGGAATATAAGGTACTATTAAAATAAGCAAATTGAGGAGACTGTAAATATCAAAACATCATAACTTTTATTAAATGTTTGTTTGGATTGGGCACAGTTTTAAGATCCAGTTGGCCATTATGTGCACAAAGTGTTTTGCATTGACATTACCATTGCTGCCAACATTGCCCTCTAGAATTATACAATTGATTGTAAATCCGCGTGATCTGAAAGCTGTTGGCAATACTTTTTAAACAAAAATTGTGAACTTTTCTTGCGTTTATGTTGGTATAACGGAAGTAATTGTGTGACAGATATGTCAACCGTGACATGTGATAAATTTAGGTTATGTTTTGGATACATTTT